TCCTTCCTTCCTTCCTTCCTTCCTTCCTTCCTTCCTTCCTGTTTGTTAAGGTATCATTAAAAAGGGGATTGAAAATAAAACAGCTAATGTACAAAACGCAGATCAGGCTGGGAGTGTTGTGTACAGTTCTGGTCGCCCCACCTAAAAAGAAAGACATTGTGGAACTGGAGAAGATGCAGAAGAGAGCGACTCAAAGGATGACCAGGCTGGGGAAAGGCGATAGTGTTTGGAGTCTAGAGAAAAGGCGCCTAAGGGGGGGGACCTGATGGAGACGTCTAAAATTATGCAACGGATGAATAAAGTGGATAGAGGGAATCCCTTTTCCCTCTCACGTGATACCAGAACCAGGGGAAATCCACTCCAATGGAGTGTTGGGAAAGTGAGAACAGACCGCAGAAAATATTTCTCGACCCAGTGTGTGCTTAGGTCGGTGGAACTCCTTGCCACAGGATGTGGGGATGGCATCTGGCGTAGATGCCTTGAAAAGGGGATTGGAGAAATTCCTGGAGGAAACGTCCATCGCAGGTGATGGGGATGAAGTATAATCTACGGGCTTCGAAGGAAGGGACCTCCAAAGGCCAGATGCAGGGGAAGAGGGGGATCAGGAGATAGGGATCTCGTGATCTCTCCTGGGCTCCCAGAGGCATCGATCTTGGGGCCCTTGGCCTGATCCAGCAGGGCTCTTCTTAGGGTCTTATGTTCACATGTAGATTCTCCCAGATATAGGACTAAATTCTTAGTATGTAAGGACAACTGCAGTATTGTAGTGGTTCTGGAAATTATTTTGCTACCTGTCTTGGTTATGATTTATGTCTGGGATTGTTTATTATTTATATTATTCTACAATATACATTTAATTTGTGGTACACGCCGCTCAGAGTAGCCATTTGCTAGATGGGCGGCAAAGAGAGAGAGAGAGAGAGAGAAAGAAAGAAAGAACGAAAGAAAGAAAGAAAGAAAGAAAGAAAGAAAGAAAGAAAGAAAGAAAGAAAGAAAGAAAGAAAGAAAGGCTGTCGGACGGAAGTGAATCAGCTTCATCTCTCTTCCACCCTCTTCCCTGGGGAAGAATGACGTGATGGCTCACTTTCATGGTTCAGGCGAGCATTAAAAGGATCCCTTTATACACGGTGGGAAGAACAGCCAGGTTCCCCTCCGGCGACAGGGAGAGCAAAGACAATATCCTCCTCGCTGAGGATGGCTGGTGTGTCTCTCTTCCTGCAGCTTTTATTTCCATTTTTATTTCCACGTCTGACATTCTCCCATCCCTCCCGCAGGGTCACTTGCTTTCAGGTCAAGCATTATCAGGAACACGGAGCGCCAGCAGACACGTATCCATGTTAATGAGGCTGCGCGCCTGCTGAGGTGGCGATGCGCTGATTAGGAAAAAAAAATGGAAGTTGCAGCCGGCAGATGAGAGGATGTTTCCTCCATCTTTCTCTTCTCCTTTTTCTGTGTCGTTGCTTCTGACTGAACAGCGACCCTAGGCAGGAGTGGTCCCCCCCCCACATTTCCTAATGAACGGCCCTGCTCTTGCACACTCACGAACATGGCTTCTTTTATGGAGTCCGTCTATCGCCCATTTGGTCTTCCTCATTTCCTGCTGCCTTGAATTTTCCCCAGCCTTTGGGTCCTCCATGTCCTAAAGTGGGGGACTGGATCCTCCCCTGCTGTGTGGCATAGAATGGGCTTTACTCCTAAGAAGTCAAACTCCCCTTAAAAAAAAAAGCCCTAAGCTTCCAAAGCCACCATGAAGGACAAAAAATGTCCTTGGGTCTTCCTGGCTGCAACCAAAGCTGCCCTCTTTGGCTTGTGCCCTTTTCTGATGCCTGCTGGGCTTCTCCCACACGCGTGTGTGCACACGCTCACATGATGCCCTTAGACTCTTCTGTTCTGCCTCCTCTTTCTCTTCCTCCTCCTCCTCTCCGGGAAGGCCTTCTGCCAAGTGTCTCGGAGCAGCCCGGAATGGAGGAGCTCTTGAGAACAGCGGGAGGTTTTTCAAGGGTGCCCACAAGGCTTGACAGGGGTGTGTTTGGCACCTGGCGCTCCTTGCTTCCAAAAAAAGATGAGACACTCCCTCTCCCCTTCAGGTCCTGTCTCCCAGCCTCGCCGCCACCCTTTATCCTTACTGCCCATCTCCTCTTCCAAACAAAGAGAAAAATAACAGACCAAAAAAGCAGGAGGCAGCCAGAGAACAGACCCTGGGTGCCCGGCCCTGATAGCCAGCCCTGGTTTCTGTCTCCAAGCAGCTTCCCTCCTCCCACCACCCATGTCCACCCCACCTGTTGTCTCCAGGTCCTTCTTGACATCTTCAGCGGATGCTCAGCCTGGCAGAACTGGGCCGGCGTTGGCAACGTTTGCTGGCTTCATGGACCGCTGTGGCCACTGCAAATTTTGAAATCTCACACCGGCACTGGGTTTTGCTGACCGAAACTGTAGCCTCTCCTTCCTGGAAAGTTGCAAAACATTTGAAAGGGAGGGGGTGAGGCACTCTGCGTGTGCTCAGGAGCATGGGCATCTCAAACTGTTGGAGAGTGGAGTGGCCTGACTTCTTGGGTGGGGGGCGCTGCAGCACTGGGATTGTTGAAACTGAGAGAGAGAGAAACACACACACTTATGAGGGGTTCCCCTTGAAATTTAGCCACACGTTTAGCGATAAAGGCACCTTTAAGGACTTCCTTCTCAGACGCACAACTTAACAAGAGGAACAGGAGGCTGGTGTGTAGCACAGAAGCCCAGAGCGATGCCGTCGGGAATGGGAGAAGCATGGATGAAGGTAAACAAGAAGCCCTAAAGCCAGAAACAGACGGTTTCCACATTGCAGTAGTATTTGGTGCGAATGAACTAAATGGTCCGGAATGGGATGTATTCCATCTGACAAGAGTATTTCGCTCTGAAAATGGCAAAGTCACAATAAATGGATATGGAAGGGAGATGTGACACCAGCCCTGAAAGGTTATAATGCAAGATCTCTATCAACCTATCCTTTGTTGCTCTTGGTACAGAGGTGAAAGAGGAAGAAATCATTTGGCCCAGGAGTCAGAAATGGAGGAGAACGACTCGAAGCACTGGGGGAGGCTAACAATCTCTTGATCGCAAACACATTTGCTTCAGGCAAATGAAAAGAAGTCTGCACACATGGAAGAGTCGTGATCTTAAATGCAACTTTGCATCTACTGTCAGGAAGAGACAAAGAGTGCTGTTACAACCATCGGTGCCAAGTAGAACAGTAAAAAAAGGAAAAGAGCAAAAGAGCTCTTCCATAAGATCCAAGAAATCAAGGGGATATTAAACCTATTTTGGAACGGCTGAAAGATCACCATTGGACCATACTGTCTGATCAGGATGAAATAAAGAGAAAGGGGAAACAATACAGTGAAGAACTGACTATACAGAAGAGATGCAAGAATGACAGACTCCTTTGGAAAAGAATCCTCTGGTGATGAACCTGCAGTTTTAGAAAGCAATGTGAAAGCTGCTCTGAAAACACTTGGAAGAAATAAATCACCAAGAGTATACCTATAGAACTGTTTTAAGCTATGGAGATCAAATCAACTGAAATGCTAACAAATATGGGAAACAAAGCAATGGCCCATAGACTGAAAATATTCAATATACATTCTAATCCCCAAGAAAGGAGATGACAAGGAGCACAGCAGCTATAGGTCCGCTGCACTAATTTCCCATGCAAGAAATGTGGTCCTCAAAGTGTGGCAACCAAGCATTTTATCCTGTATGGAGAGTGAAACACCAGATGTTCAAGCTGGAGTTTGAAAAGGAAGAGGGACTCAAGATCATATTGCAAATATCCACTGGTTACTGGAGTGCACCAAGGAACTTACGGTGTCAGTCTATGCTTTATAGACCACTGCAAAGCTTTCGGCTGCATGGATCATAAGCACAGATTGTTCTGAAAGAAACTTGACTCTCCTGATGCGTGCTTCTGTCATTTCTTCCAAAAAGGAGGAGCGATTAAAGATCGGATGATATGGGTTTAACTGGAGAAAGGCAACTGTGATGATTACGAATCTCGAATCATTCGCATTAACAGCCCTGTTCAGTTTGCAACCGCCCTTAATGCTCAGACATTCTGAAGGTCACTCATTCAGAGGGTCACCAGAAGTTGGAGGCAACCTGAGCCCATATTGATTTTCCGGAGACCAATCAGGAAACGAAGGCTTGCAGGAACAACGCAAGATACGGAGCTGGCTTTGGCCACCAGACCTCTTCCACGACTCAAGTAGCAGCTGTAATCATGGTCTAAACCAGTGGTTTCCATCTTTGGCTCCCCAGATGTTCCTGGAGGACCACCCCCAGAAATCCTGGCCCGCACAGCTAGGGGTGAAGGCTTCTGGGAGGAACATCTGGGGACTCAGTTGATCAGGAACCACCAGCCTCCACGGAACCTGAGAGACCCTCTTTTCCTTGAATTCCCAGATCTTCAGAAAACTCCCATGTCCCCGAATGACCCTAACCCTCCGTTCACCCGACCCGCTCTTTCCCCAAAGTGCTGAGAAAGTGAGTCCAAAGTTTTCAGAAAGTGTAGGAAAAAGGAGGGGGGGGGAGATGCTGGAAGGCTGAAAACAGACTCCCTGCTCAAGAACGTAAAGCCAGGCAGGACTGGCAGAAAGAGAAGTGGAAAAGGAGACGAGACAGAGACGAGAACAGTGGGAACGAGAGGAAACAGAAGCCCTGGAAGGAAACGTGAAAGGGGAGCTGAGGCAGCATCTTTGAAGCAGAGACATGGGAGATGCTTGAAGCTGCCCCAGTTTGCTGTGTTTTCCTGCACAGGGAAGCACTGCGGAGACAAGCCGCGGAAGGGGTGCACGTGGGGAGGGAGGGGAGAACGGCAGGCTTATCCAGGGCAGTTTGCAAACTGGGACGCATCCCTTTCCTTTGGGACCCGAGGCGCAGCTGCTTCGCCGGCTGCTGCGCGCCGGGCAGGCCCCTTCCAACACGGGCCGGTGAGCATCGTGTGGCGTCCTGGAGAGGCCTGACGGACCGCACGGCAGCCATGGATCGTCACGTTTGCAATGGTAACAGGGCGGCAAAGCGTGGTCCGGAGCCCCGGTGGGAGAGAGATTGGGTCCGGGGTGTGTGTGTGTGTGTATGTGCCAGCTGGATAGCTTAGCTCCTTTTCCAGTCCTTGACACCGCCCTCCCATAGGGAGAGAGGTCGGGCACATGGGTCAGCGTTCAGGCATGAGCTAGGAGGGTGGGGATGGCAGGACCCCACAGCGGAAGAACTGAGCGCTCTTTCCAGCCTCCGACACTGATGTCCTGCTTTCCAGTCCTTGACACCGCCTTCTCATAGCGAGAGAGGTCAGGCACATGGGTCAGCGTTCGGGCATGAGCTAGGAGGGTGGGGATGGCGGGACCCCACAGCGGAAGAACTGAGCTCTCTTTCCAGCCTCCGACACTGATGTCCTGGATAACCCAGGGCATGTCCCCCCTATCCCCCCCCCGAATACCAGCCCCTGTAATAAGAAATGTCAGGCGTTGTGGGGAGCATGATGGGCTGGGGCAGGAGGAAACCTTCTGCAGCCTCCTGGGTACATGGGGTCCAATCCTGCATGGCTCTTCTCCGGATATCTCAGTGGCATTTTCTGTACTAAAAGATGACTTGAATCCACCTGGTCTGGATGTTTTGCCTCTCTGAAACAGGAAAGCTCGCTCTTAATGTTGTGAACGTCTTGAACGTCTTCTCTTTGGAGATGAGAGAAACCAAAGTGGGCTTAGAGGGTGAGTTTGGGCCCCAGGTGAGAACAAACGGGACGTGCCACTTAACCTGCTCTACCTGCAGAAGCAGAATTGCGTAGGGATACGGGCATTCCTTTTCAGCCCACCTGGCGCACCTTAGGCATAAACAGTCCTCCGGGAAGCGCCTGCCCCATGCGCCTCCGGATGCTCCCTGGGGGGCCAGTCTGGGCTATGGATTCCCAAACGAACAGACAATTGCACAAACCTGAATTTCTGGCTCCAGATGTTGTGATGATTACGTACCAGGTAATCTTCCCATCAAGGGGTTTAGGCAGCCCAGGGCCTTCAGAAGGTGAGGTTAGACCAAGAAGGGCCCACCTCCTGAAGGCTGTTTGTTTCGACAACCTGAACATGGGATGTTTTGGACCTTCAGGACAAGCAGTAAAAGGGATTCGCCAGGAGCACCCGGTCGGCAAGCAAAGCTATTCGGTTTCTTGGGAAAGCCCCCGTAGAAATGTTAAATTTCTGGAAATCTTGAAGCCACGTAAAATGGCTTGGGGGGAAAGCACACAAAAAAAATTGGGGGGGGGGAAGCAGGTTTCTTTTCCATTTTCCTTCAAAGCTGTTTTATAGGGCTTCAAAATTTCGTTTTATAGGGCTTCAGATTTTCTGGAAATTTTACATCTCTAATCTCAAGATGTGTTGCGGGGGGGGGGAGCCCATGGCGTACGGGAGATGTAGCCCACCACATTTGAACGGGACCATAATGGAGAAGCCTGGTCCGCTCCGGGGGCCGTTCACTGGCCTCTTGAGCTGAAGCCCATCATCATCATTAGGGGGGGAAGATTTCTATGACATGTCATATTTTTTCTTCTGCAGCCTATGTTTGAACTTATAAGTGGGTTTGGACATGTTTCTGAGTCATCTGGTGAGAAAGGCCAGATGATTCATCAACATGTTTCAACTTGCTTGTTGGTTCAAGTATTGGTTGCAGAGAAAGTGTGACATGTCATAGAAATCCCCCCTCTAACCATAAGACAGGAGGGCTCGCGACTTTGGTTGTGGCTGGGTGCGATTATAGGGACTCCCACAGGGGGATAGGTCTAACAGTTTTATCAGCCACAACAGCTAAATATATTCAGTGTGCATGTGAGTGCCCAGTGCTGCTAAGAAACCTAGGCATGCTGGATAGCTCAGTCGTTTTGGTCTGTGAGCCGGAAGTTGGGAATTCGAATCCCCCCTGAACCTCCTTGACTGGAGCTGGACTCCGTGATCCATTAGGCGTCCCTTCCAGCTCTGCAGTTCTAAGAGGATGATTGTGCAGGTTTCTAGCTCACTGCTGTTGAAAGTGGGACTTGAGGCTGGAAAGACGACACCCAATCTTTAGGCTGAGCTTCCCAAGTTCTGTGGACGTGTTTGTCCTTTCATGAATCTCCTCTTGTCACGGACCTTGAGAACCTCAGCGAGGAAGCCTTGGAAGTGTGTCCGGCATTGTGGATGCTGCACCATTGAGCCATGGTGCAGGTCTCTAACTCACTGCTGTTGAAAGTGGGACTTGAGGCTGGAAAGACGACACCCAATCTTTAGGCTGAGCTTCCCAAGTTCTGTGGACGTGTTTGTCCTTTCATGAATCTCCTCTTGTCACGGACCTTGAGAACCTCAGCGAGGAAGCCTTGGAAGTGTGTCCGGCATTGTGGATGCTGCACCATTGAGCCATGTGCGCCCCCCCCCATATTTGGAAGGGCTCTAGCAGTTTAAAATCGTGTGTTTTTCATTGCATCTGTTGTGTCCATTTACACAGAGCTGCAAAAGTTTATTTTCTGGATCACAACACCCAGAATATATTTTTATTTATTTATTTATTTGATTTATATCCCGCCCATCTGGTATATTATACCACTCTGGGCGGCTAACAGCAAAGAATTCCCCCCCCCCCCACCGTCTAGTTATCATGCAGTCAGAGGACCTTGGGAAAGGTAGCCCGTACAAGTAACGTTCCAGCCTCTGTACTATAGATCCCCCTGTGATGACAGACTCAGCACCAGGAGCCGTGCGTTTAATCTGTGCAAGCAGGTATGCATTGCACGGGGAATGATGGGACTTGTAGTTCAAAAAAAGCAATTTTCCTAAGGTCAGGAATGACGCATTTAAAGAATACACCTCTATCACGTAAAAGATGTAGCTGGACATCCTGCCACATTTATTTATTTGTTTGTTTATTCATTCATTTATTCATTCATTTATTTCTATACCGCCCATCTGGCTGCCAAGGCTGCTGGGCAGTTTACATATTTAAAAAATGCAACAGCAAGAAAAATGCAAATCAATAAACACAACAGTGATAAGATCAAAATAAACATGAACGAAAATTATGAAAAACCATAGTAGATTTAAAAGCCATAATATCGCCTAACAGCTGACCTTAGGCTGAAATGAAGGCTGGGCAGTTTACATATTTAAAAAATGAAACAGCAAGAAAAATTCAAATCAATAAACACAACAGTTATAAGATCAAAATAAACATGAATGAAAATTACGAAAAACCATAGTAAATTTAAAAGCCATAATATCACCTAACAGCTGACCTTAGGCTGAAATGAAGCACCAGTAAAATCAAGGAGGCCTGAACAGCGTGGGAACATTAAATCCTTGATCAGAGACCAAGAGTCGTAAGCGTTGTTTCGGAAATAAGTCCATTCAGGGACACCCTAATGAAGGGAAAAAAAGTACAGCCCAAACAGAGGGCTAATAAGAATGCAAACCCCAGAAGGGATCGCAGGTAGCAGGATCAAACCTAAGAGATAATTTAGCCTCCAGAACCACCTCTTGCTACATTTTGTCTTAAAGAAACCGCTTAAGTCAGACTAGAATAGAAGATCGGAGACAGGAGAAACCTGGGGGTGGGGGTGGGGGTGGCCTCCTCTAAGCAGTTTCTCCCCACCGTTTTTATTCCCACAGCCCCGCACAGCAACGCTCTCTGCGTGAGCGAATGCTGGAGCGGGTGCCCGAGGCATCTGGGCCGCACTGCTCAGGAAGCTCTCATGATCTCACCTGGCCGACAGGTAGAGGATGCCTCTCCCTGCCCCAACCAGCTGTGCAAGAGAGAAGGATCTTTTCGCCACACAGAGGTGGGGAAAGTGACTTTTAGCTGGACTCTCCTCTAAGCATAAAGAATCGTTTTCCCCCACCATTTGTATTCCCACAGCCCCGCATGGCAACGCTCTCTGCGTGACCGAAGGCTGGAGCGGGTGGCTGAGGCATCTGGGCCGCACTGCTCACGAGGCTCTCATGATCTCACCTGGCCGACAGGTAGAGGATGCCTCTCCCTGCCCCAACCAGCTGTGCAAGAGAGAAGGATCTTTTCGCCACACAGAGGTGGGGAAAGTGACTTTTAGCTGGATGAGAGGGGAAAAATGGAGCCTGGCTGGATGGAGTTTTCTGGGACTTGAAGTTCGCCAAAAAGGGACCTCCCCCATTTCTACCTGCTTCACTGTAAGCCCTCCTCAGGAAACAGCTTGATTAGGGCCAGGGCTTGAGGGGAGGCTTGCTTGAGCTGTGTGGTCTTTCTTTTCTTCCTCCCTCCCTCCCTCTCTTCCTTCCCTCTTTCTCCATCTTTCTTTAATCTTTCCTCCCTCCCTTCTATCTTTCTGTCTTTTCCTTCCTTCCTTCCTTCATTCTTCTCTTTTCCTTCCTTCCTTCCTTCCTTCCTTCCTTCCTTCCTTCCTTCCTTCCATC